GTCCCATCCTGAAGCAGAGCAGGAAGAAACACAACAGAAAAACAGGAACTCAGTTCTCATTATTTACCCCACCTAAGAACTTATCCATGATGAAATTAAATGGCAGTGATTTTCTAGTGATCTATGAAAACCAAGATAATTATTGAAAAATTAAGATTTTTTTTATTGAACAGATACATGCAGGTGGCATATTAGTCACTGCCCTTTGAAATTGGTATCCATTACAATCAACTTGTTTTGTTATCGAAATTCATGACTGTAAATGAAATATGCTAATACATTTCCATGAGAGGACGCCTGGAGGAAGGACATATTTCAGAGGATTTCTGGCAGTTGGCCAAGACTTATAGCTATAGATTGTTTTCAATTGTCCTGGAAATTCAGTTATTAAATTGTGAATGGCACTGCTGTCAGGAGCTAGGGATGATTGATGAGCAAGGATCCCAGGAGGCAAAGAAAACCGCCACTCTTCGTCCTCTTAACCAGAAATCTCATCTTCTAGCATTATATTTGTCTTTTGTTTTTTTAAGAAACCAAACCACTTTGAAAACAAATTTTTGTCAATTGGCCAATTGAGAACAAGTTTATGTTTCTATAATTGTAATACACACACACACACACACACACACACACACACACACACACACACATAGAAGGTGCCAAAAAAAATGTGAAATGTATACACATTTTAAGAAAGGAAAAAACTGTATTAAAATTGTAATACTCAATATACATCGATAACAAAAGATGAATACAAGTCACGTGTATACATTTTTTTGCCACCCCAGTATATATATGTGTGTATAAATACATAACCATGAAATGACTCTCTGACTTGGTTTTGGGTTTTTTTCCATCTGGTTGGGAGCCTCGCCTGGCTCTGGAGAGGAAGGCAAGGCTCTAGGCTGGCTAGCTGGGGATTCTGCTCTGGGAAGCTGATTGAAAGAATTTACCCAGAATTGTAGATCCCCCCCAAATCAAGGGTTCGTGGGAGATCAAGTAAGCCATGAAAGCACAAGGGTCATTCAGCCACAATGTCATTCAACAGGTACTGATGGTTTACTATAGGTCAGACATTGGGCTGGGGCCTTAGTAGTGAACAAGGCAGAATCTCTGCCCTAAATCAGTAGTCTAGTATAATGCATTCAGACAAACAGGCAAGTATAATATGTATTAAGATAAAGTGCAGCAGAAGATGCTATGGAAGTATGTCTTTGGAGGGACAGTTAATCTAGCCTTGATGGATCAGGGAAACCTTCTCTAATGGTAGGACGATTAGACTTCCGCCACTGATTAGGATATAGAAAGATGTAAGAAAGCCTCTCACATCTGTGGTAATAACAAGAAATCACACTTTTCCATGGGGTTGTTGGAAAGCAGCGGATGTATAATAAGAAGACCTTAATGAACTAAATTCTGTAGAGCTGTCATGTCTAGAGGGACAGGTGAGCAGATAGCTGTGCATTGCCATACTCGAGGGGAAGGGTCTGGTGTGGGAATAAGTAGATGGAAGAGCAAGCCTGTGACAGTCTGGGAAACTGCAGGGCCAGGAAGAAACCAGCACAGACTTTGCCAACAAGATAAGCTGGTGGGACAGACGTGGGTCTGGAAGGAGCCCAATCACAAAGATAAATTACTTAGGCCTACATCCCAGTCCCAAGATCGCTAAGACTGAAGATACCAGGGATGTGTGCCTGAAGTATGGGGGACAGAGGACAAGATCACTGGAGGAGAGTTGAAGGGACTGAGAAGTCAGGATACCAGAAAGACGATCTCTGTAGATACTCAAATTTCAAGAATTACAGCAGGAGTAGTGTTAGAAGGAATGGCAGTGAGCCAAAAACTAAGGACTTCAAGGAATGAGTAATAGTAACCTAGAAGCCTGTAGACAGCCGCTACAAGGTTCTCATTTTATATCTGATAGCTTAAACCCAGAGCCGTGGGGCGTTCGTAAGGAACGACGAAGAGCAATGGTCTGGAAGCAACGAGACGCAAGGACAACACCTACCCCACCTCCTGGCCTAATATTGTAAGGGCGTGGGTGAAGAAGGAAGCACAGGATGAACAGGATGCTGTATCCTCAAGAAACAGGCAAGCTTGAGTTGGAAGAGGACAATGATCAAACAAGAGGTTGAGAAATGAGTTTGCTAATGACCAAGTTCCCAAACCCTAGAGGGAGGGTCTAGGAGTTGGGGAGGGGTTAGAAAAGGTGAAGTAGAAAGCCGTATGAGGTTGAAGAGAAACTGAAGGATGAGGGATGACTTGGGAGTTAAGGACTGCTTGTGAAGGCTTCAAGGCACAGCGTGGTCGAGGAGGAGGTGGGGGATGGGCTCTTGCCAGAAGCAAGAGAGCTCGTGAGAGAATGAGTGGTGGTCTTCACTCCTACCAAAGGCGCTGTGTAGGCCAGGGAAGGGGTGCTCTCATCTGAAGCATGTAGATCTCTGGGGTGCAAACCTCAGTACCTTTGTACATGCTGTTCCTCTTTGTGGAATGCTCCTCCCCATTCTTCTTCATTTTGCTTTTATATCTTCAAAATTCAGCTAAGACATCAGCTTCTCTAGGAAACCACCCTTAATTTCATTAATCTGATCTGGGTGCTCCTGTTTGGAGCACACTTTAGCCTAGACTTTATCACATTATTAATCTTTTTTCATTTTTCTACCTCCCTAGCTGGACTGTGAGCAACTTAATGTCTGTTTGCTTACTTGTTCATTATCTGTTTACCTTCATGAGGGCAGAATTTTTGTCTGTTCTGTTCATACTGTATCCCAGATTCATATAATAGTGCTTGGCACATAATAGGGAATATCTGTTGGATGGATGGATGAATGGATGGATGGATGGATGGATGGATGGATGGATGGATGGATGGCTCACTTCAAACCCTGACACCATCCTAGATCATCTTACATCACAGCCCTCAAGACTGTATATTAAAATTATTAATGAGTATTCACTGAAAAGCAGAATGGCTGGTACTAATTGAGGAATCATAAGAAAAGATAATCTTTACTCCAAGGGATTTATAACCTAATGGAAAAATTCCTACTCATGTGGACTTTATCAGGAAAAATTCCTACTCATGTGGACTTTATCAAGGCAAAAAAACATAACATAAAGGACAGTTGCCTAGAACTGTCACAATGTTTATCTTATTTATAGTGTTGCACTAGTAGTACTTAGAACATAGAAGGTGTTCAATTGATGTTGAAAAATAATGAAATACTGGATTATATATGAAGAGATGATATAGTCATAATTATATAGATACAGAGACACAAAGAGATAGATATAAACATATTCCTCACCCTATTCATCCTCACTTCTACCTCCCATTTCTATGTGTACAAATACTACTCTCAATTTTTCTGTTCCCAACTTTTATTACACATCTATGTGCTAGGCACTTCGTAGCCTTTTTACAAATGTGAGTCATGTCACTCTCGTGTTCAGGATTTTTTAATGGCTCCATCACCTATAGAAATAATACATTTTGGTTCAGAATAATGGTGGGGATGAGGTTGATTAAAATGCAGATTTCTCCCAGAGGTCCTGAGAGTTTTATCTGAGGTCAATTCCTGGAATGTGCATGGTAAGAAGCATCGTCCACTCCCAAATTATTGATGCAACTGGTCCATGGATCACACTTTGGAGAAACATGGACTAGAGTATTAAATCTGGCATAAAAGAGCCTTAATGGGCTCTTCTGTCTACTCCTGCCTCCTGTGCTGCCATTCTCCATTTCTGGGATTTTTTGCCTCAACAGAACCAAACAGTTATCCATTTCCTCTACAAACCATACTCCCCCATGCCTCTGTGCCTTTGTTTGTACAAAGGTCCCGAAATCGTCTGCCTGGCTAACTCCACTCAAGGATCTGCTAAAAAGCTACCTTCTGTTTTTTGCTTTTTTTAAAGATTCTTTCTTCTTTTTTTAAAACTTTATTGGGGAACAGTGTGTTTCCCCAGGACTCATCAGCTCGAAGTCAAGTCATTGTTTTCAAGTCATTGTTTTCAATCTAGCCGTGGAGGGTGCAGCTCACTGGCCCATGTGGGAATTGAACCGGCAACCTTGGTGTTATGAGTCTGCACTATAACCGCCTGAGCTAATTGGCCACCCCCTCCTTCTCTGGTTTTAAAGCTACCTTCTCTGTTTTTTTTTCAGAGGATTTAAAAGCACTTTTTATCTACAGTACCAAAGCACTTTGCATCTGTGTGGGTGTGTGCACACAACCTTCTCAGTATTGTTTGCAATAGATTTGGCACTTCTAGACTCTACATCTGCCTTAGATTAAAATCTTCTCGAAGGCAGAGGCTATTTTCTTCTTCATCTTTTCAGTACTGAGCATCTTGTTTGGTATCTAGTAGAAAGGTTCTACTTTTGGTTTGGTGACTTGTCCTAGGTCACATAGCTGGTAAACTGCACAGTCAAAATCTGAATCAAGATCTTCAAATCCCTGATTCAAAGTCTTTTCAGGTGCCTGTGGCCCCTTTTTGATGATGTCTCTAAGTGGATGCTGTTTCCAAGGGTTTCTTCCTCACCTGTAGCATTTAACATTTTATTTCATGTTTTAAAGTCCTCTAGAAACAAGTTTTATCTTCTCCTTCAGGGCATAAAGCAATAAAGCACAGCAGGCTTAATCTGACTCAATCTTGGTATTCCCCACAGGCCTAGCAGAGTACCTAGCATTTAGTAGCATTAAAAAAGTTATGCACACACATTTAATTAACGAATGACTTAGCTATTTATATAAAAGATAAAACTAAGCAGGCATAACCTCAAACGGACGCAATTTTTTACTTTTCTTTTTTGCCTCGTTTTTAGGATTTTACTACGAGACCTGCAACCACGCTCCACCTCGCGCCCCCGCATCTGACGTGACAAGCCAGACCTAGAACTACCAATTCCAGAATGCCATGCGAGGGGCGGGCTCCCCGAGAGCCGGCCAATGATTGGCGAACGGGGACTTTTCCTTCCGGCAGGAAGGGCCCGGGAGGCGGGGACTTGGGGGAGACGTTTAAACACTTTCTCCAGGTTGGGCGGGCCTCGTCGGGGAGGGGTTTGTGGGTGATCCCTGGGTCCCCCGCCCGCTGAGGAGATGGATGAGGACGGGCTTCCTCTCATGGGGTCAGGCATAGACCTGACCAAGGTTTGTAAAAGGAGTTGAACTTCCGGCGACCTGGGAGGAGGATGGGGAAGGGACGCCCCGGGGAGACCCCAGCTCTCCATGCCTCACCCTGGCCCTGGCCCTGGGCTTCTCTTCGGCCGGCCCCAGGAGGGAGAGTCCCACAGTTCACCTTGAAAAGGGGTCCCCCCCGAGCTGTTTAAGGGGGTAGCGTTCCTCTCCCAGCCTTCATTTCCCGTGTCACGAGTCTTTATGCTCAAGGCAACATGGGCCGGTTGCGAACTCTAACCCCACCTCTTTTATTCGGCCCCCAAGTTTTTTGTGTGTTTATGTGTGCTGTCTTTGCCGACAAGCTCTTAACTTAGGAATCCAGAGCCCATTCTCAAACTTTTCTGCAGCTTCTGCCATCTTCGGACACCCCACCCCCACGGTTTGGGAAAACAAACTAATGACTGACTGACTATGCGGAGCACGTCAGGGGACTCAGATCACACAGCTCATAAAACACCCCGTTATATTAATATCAGAGGGATTGCACAGTGTATCTTCCTCTTGTACGAATCATATATATTTTTTTTACATAATACAGGTGCCAGCTATTCAACAGAAAAGAACGGTGGCATTTCTAAACCAGTTTGTGGTGCACACTGTACAGTTCCTCAACCGCTTTTCTACAGTTTGTGAGGAGGTAGGTCCTGTGATAATGGTGTAATGAGCAGCCTAGAAATCAGCTTGCACTTCTGAAGACAGCAAATGAGTAAAACAAGAATTACACCCTACTGTTGCCATATTATGTCACCCAGTTATGTTAACCTATTTTAAATCCTTTTTGATTCTGTTACCATCAATCCTGCATCCCATCTCTGCTGAATTAGTTTTCTAGAGGCCTTTGTGAAATAGTTCAGTAAAGCTTATTATGATTACAGAGAACAAAAGGAATTCCAGAATTTCACAGTTGAAAACATTTTGTATTTTGAAGTTAGTTATGTTTCTCTTACCCCAAAGACTTACATTTTCAAGTGCACATTTGTTTCAGTTTATATTAAAATTATTTTATAACTTTTGATCCAAATAAATGGGTAAGAAGGTAGCCTAGAAACATAGCTTTGGCATCAAATATCATTATGAAAATAAAAATACTTTCTGCAAGTGACTTGTGAAATGAGGATTAAGTACCCAATTAAAGATTAGAGATCCTGTCTTAGAAAAAAATAAATAAATAAAGCGAAAAAGAGAATGGGCAGAAACATGGGTTGAAATTGGGTTTAAGAAAGAAGAGATAAAATCACATAATTCACAGGTTAGTGAATTAAATATAGCTTTAGCAAGTGGAGTTTTTGTTAGATGTCTTATTATTAATAAAAATTACATGGAGAGAGGAAAGCTATTTTCACTTGTAGATTCCAGCAGCTGTTTTTGTCTAGTTATCAAAATCTGTTTTCTCACTAAGACAAAAGGAAGTAAAATAATAATTGAAAGAATAAGGAACTCAATGCAGTATTTTTTATCTAACAGGCCCAGAGACTAGGTGCTTGCTTCCATGAGTTTTACCTTTACTGCCGCCTCTCTAAATGGGTATAGAATTGACTGACTAAAAACCAGTAAGCCAAGGATTTAGTCCACTTTTTATGTCAGGGTAGGGTAGAGAGGTATCTGAGGAGAGGCTATTCCAGGATTGTTGGTAGAGAGGAGCAGATACTCCATCCCCTCATCACCAGGTTAAAAAATAAAACAACAGCCAGCAAACACACCTATGAAAGCAACTTAATTGAGCTGCTCTGGGCCAAGGAGAGCCCCTCACCTCTGTAGCGCCTGACAGTTTTCACTGATTGGGGACTAGGTCAAATATAACAATAATCGCCTGTTGTTTACTGATTTATGAATTATCAGAGCCTCATGATTCATTCTTTTCTCCCCTTCTCAACTTCCTCTCCCAACTTCCCCTCAACTGTTTTCACTATACGGCTCACTATTCCCTAGTTCTTCCTTGAACTCAAGAGACAAGCTTGTTAACCAAAAACTCATGCAATTTAAATGTTGTTTTTTGATTTTTTCTCCTTAATGGATGATAATCTAGTTGACTGGGACTCGTTATTTACGATTAATATTTTAGCAGTTTGGATATAGTTGTAAACTGTTGGGTGTGATGACAGTGCTTATTCTGTGCTCAGCATTGTACTAATTGCTTTACATATATTTTATCATCACAGCCAGCCCTTTGGGAGAGGTCCAGCTGTCTCTCTCTTTGAAACACAGAAACCAAGATGTAGAGAGGTTGAAATCATTTGCTTAGCCATTCATTCACTCATTCAGCATATATTTAAGTGCATAGTATTTATAGCTACAGTAGCTGCTCTAACTTGCCCACATTCACACAGCTGGAAAAGTAGCAGAGCTGGGATTCCCACTCTGATCTATTAACTGGAAAAAAACAAAAATGTCTCGCTATTCAGTTACAGTGCATCCTCTGATGGGAAGAAGAGGCCTGTTTACATCATTTTCAAGTGAGAGGCTTCGAAGTGTCTTTTTTATAGCTATTTCAAATTTTATTTTTTAGATTTGTATTCTCTTCTTTGCTATGCCATGTCCATTGGATGTAATGTCTTTTTGATACGATAAATTCCAAGGATATAGTATATGTATTCAAACATCAAGTGCCATTTTCTCCCAAGTTAAGATTAATTCTGGTTTTTTGACATGGGTGATAATTTGTTAATAGCACCTATCAGGGCTACAGTCCTTGTTGAGTTAAAGCCTAAAATTAGAACCCAAATGACTATGCTTCCCTCAACAAAACATGAACCTCAGCTGTTATTTTTTGAACTAGAAGTTAATGGAGGAGGAAGGGGGGAAAATACCTGTTTGTTTTTTGTTTTTCACAGAATCTGGTTTGAACCAAACCCAAACTGTAACAACTTCAGTCACAGCTTAACTAAAACTGTAATTAAATTTGAAATAAATTGCTGGGGCTCTCTTCATCACTAAGACTGGTCTAATAAAGAGAAAAATGAAGAACTTAACTTTTGAAAAAGTTTCTGGGTACCAGGCTACTTTGTAACTGTTCTAATCACTGGAACCAGGGTAGGAAAGAAGTTAGGAGACAGAGAAAGGAAAGTAGCTGAATCAGACCCAAGTTACAAAGTTACTTAGGGTCATCTCTTCACAAATCCCCAGTAAGCATTTCTAATCTGGCCCTAATCAGCAAAATTTTATGGTGGTCCATTGGGACTGCAAATTTAAATTGGGAGTGTGTTGGGGGAGTCTCTCAATACAAGTTCCATGCACATTGCAGATAAACTGAGCAGAAATTTAACTTTATATTGAATTTTAAAGTCAAAGGTACTCTATAAACAAGATAGTCAGATGTGTTATTTTGACTCAGACTTGTAACATGCTTAGAATACTGGGTTTCTAATCATTTAAAAAATATTCTAAAATGTTTCTTTTTTTCTAAAATCTTAAGTACAGGCAAAACTGCTGAGAATTCTCACATAATCTAAAAAACTTTGCAGTGCTTATCTTCTACATCCAGTTTTAAGCCCACCATCGGACTTAACCTTCAGCCAAGTAATGTTTTGTTTAAAAACCCTAGTTATTGCTACAATGTTTTACAACTGCTTTTACAACTTTTACAACTGCTGGGCTTAAGTGTCAGGTAAAGCTTAATAAAACCAGCAATTGCTTCCCTTTCTGGCTTTTCGGACACATACAATCCAGTGTGATATACCAAGAGATCCATTATTTTAAAATACTGTTTCTCTTTTAGAGAATTGGATATGCACACTGGATATTTTACAAACCTAAAAAACCACAGTATTTTATTTTTGTTTCCATGTTTAACTATTCACTCCATATTTCTTCCTTTCGTCTTCTTTTTCACTTTAATAAAATACACTGGCTTAGAAATAGATGGGTAATAAATCAAGTTGCTTTAAACTTAGCTTACAGATTTCAGGTAACTTGTAAATTCCCCAATTGTCCCAAGCCGAGGTATTTCAGGTTTTCTTTAAATCCTTATAAAGATAAAAGGATAGCAAAATACATGGGAAACTGATACCTTTTCATTTCCTCCCTGTGAAAAAGTTCACAGGTGGGCACAGTTACTCTCATTGATCATGTTACTTATGTCCATAGTCAAGTCATCTACACTTTAGAGCAGTGGTTCTGAACCAGGAGATATTTGGCATCGTCTAGAAATATTTTTAGTTGTCACAACTGGGGAGTGCTAGTGGCATTTAGTGGATAGAAGTCAGAGATTCTGCCACACAGCCTCTCACAACAAAGAACTGTCTAGCCCAAGAATTGGCAAACTGCAGCTCACGAGCCACATGCGGCTCTTTGGGTACGTTCCATCTTAAAAGTTTGCCGACCCCTAGAAGATCCAGTCCAGTCTCACGACAATTTAAAAATTATTCGAGAGCCATAAATATATTTTTACATAATCACCATTATGTGAGTAATAGCCTTTAAAAATTTTTTAAATGAAACTATGATAGTTTTATTTTCTTTTTCAATTTTACTTCAGAGCCTGTGGCTCACGAACCGCAGTTTGTCGACCCCTGATCTAGCCCAAAGTGTCAGGAGACCCAAGGTTAGAAACTTGCTTTGTAGTGGTCTGGGGGTTTGTAGAAGGAAAATTCAGAAAGCATAAACATCTTAGAAATGAACTTCAGCAGCCCAAAAATGAAGCCAGGTGTACTTGGGCAAGTGACAATGGCTTTCTAAAAAGTATATATTTATGTATTTTATAGGAATAATTACATGGGAATAGACTCAGAAACATTTATTATGCCAAATTATCTTTGAAAAGCACAGATTCTTAATTGTGCTATGTACACTTTGGCAGTCTAATGAAACAAAATTAATGTTTTTAAATATATAAAGTAAAATGTGTAGGATTACAAAAGAAATCAATTACATACTTTAAAAAAACTCAAAATTTTGACATAGTAGTATGTCTTTTATTAAAGCATTATAGTGTATAATCCAGATAACATGTAATATTTTAGACTCTCAAAAACCAGCTCTAGAGAAGATGAATCATACCTTTATGGATAATAAAATAACAACATTTATCCACAGCAAGGATAATACCATAGCCAGGAGAAAAAGCCTTTGTTGATCAGATTTTGAGAAAATCATTCACATAGCAGTTTTAAACTTTGGGTGCATGAACTTGGATGGGAAAAGAACTATGTTTACCTCTAACTTAAATTTCACAGTTTCTTTAACTTTAAATTTAGTCAACAAAAATCACAGTAGTATTAGGACCTATGACTCACCAATAGAAATCACAGATCTCTTTTTAATTTTTTTTTATTGAGGTAACATTACTTTACAACATTACATAAGTTTCATGTGTATAACATTATAACTAGACATCTGTATATACTACGTCATGCTCACCGCCAAAACTCTGGTTCCATCCGTCACATTGACCCTTTTTACCAATTTCACCCTCCCTCCACCTCCCATCCCCTCTGGTAACCACCAATCTGATGTCTCCCTCTATAAGATTGTTTTTGTTTTATTTGTTCAGTTGTTTTTTTTTTATGCCACATATGAGTGAAATACAGTATTTATCTTTTCCTATCTGACTTGTTTCACTTAGCATAATACCCTCAAGGTCCATCCATGTTATCACAAATGGCAATATTTCATCTTTTTATGGGTGAATAGTATTTTATTGTGTATGTATACCACATCTTTTTTTTTTTTTTTTAAAGATTTTTATTGGGAAATTGGGGGGATGGGAACAGTGCTGGGGAATTGGGGAAAGGGGAACAGACAAGTTGCTG